CAGCGAGGACGCTACTTGGCTGTGGGTACAGCCGCGGGAACGGTTTTTGTATGGGACATCCGGTCACCCACGTCAAAGAATGCTGAAGCTATCAATCACATTTCGCCAATTCGAATCATTCAAACGGAATCTCCTCAAGTTTCCTGTGTCGCTTTGACCTCGCTGTACCTAGTCCATGGAGGAAACGATGGCCTGGTGCAGGCCTGGGATCCCCTTGCCTCCTCGACTCGTCCAATTCGGACCATCAACTCACGATTTTCTACCCGCGCGCGCCGTCGACTTGTTCAAGCCGAGGCATCAATTCACGGTGTTGGCAACAATTACTATGCCACAGGCGCTATCTGCCTTGATCCCGATCCAACCGTTCTACGGGGCATGGTCGCCCTAGGAACCCACCTGCGTTACTGGTCCTACAGCTCCACAGGCGCCGATCAATATAAGTCCAGCAAGCGTCGGCTCCGTCGCGGTCTTAGGGGTATCAACTCCACCCCAGAAGGTCAGCGCTTCAACACCAGCGGCCGCGGTGCACTCAAGGACTACATCGAAGATGAGAAGGTTGAAATGGAACGCCAAAAGATTGCTGACGAGAAGGAACGTGCCCACCTCAGCCACCGCTTTGGCGTTGACCTTCTCGGTCCAGACGTCGACGAAGAGCAGCTTCTTGCCTACGCTCAGCTCCTCAGCCAAGAGGCCTACTCCAGCGAAGCCCACAAACGCGGTGAAGCAATCGAGAGCTCAGCAGTGAGCACCTCGCCCAGCGACACCATTGGGCCAAACGACAGCTCTGTCGCACCCGATGAGCTATCCTCTGCATCGTCGCCTTACGAAGACTTCGCCGACGGCGACGACCCCGATATCGCTGAAGCCATCCGTCTTAGTCTCCTCGAGGACAACAAGCCCGGCATGGACCTGGACACAGACACTGGTCCCTTCGACCCACCCTCCCCGTCTCTATTAGGCCCAGCCGTCGCAGAAAGCAGTCGCCAACAAGAGATCGATGATCTCGAGTTCGCAATCCAGCTAAGTCTCGCAGAAGCAGAGAGTCATTCGGGCCAGCACCACCCGACGGAGGAATTCCCGGCCCTGTCCCCGTGGGCGCAGCCATCTCCTGCTGGGAAGGACAAAGGGAAGGGTCGCGCTTAGCCTACGCTTTTTGTTCCGGAATGATATGATAGACATATCTATTCTATATCTTTGTGCTATTTGTTGATATCGTTGTTATTGTATGTTATCTATTGCGATGTGCTTACACTGTTAATGCTGTGTTGCGTAATACATAACTTGTGTATGGTATATCCGTTAGTTATTCGGTTCAGAATCAGTTGAAGAGGTTGAGAAATTATTATCATGCTTGATATAGTGTCGCAGGTTTTCCTTCTAGTCTGGTTATATAAAACCGCAGTATAATTAAGCTTGTACTACTTGTATATCGTCGCATGGGTGAGAAGTACTATCTCTCTTTGTAGCGAGGCATTATTAAGTATACTTCAGTCTTCATTAGGGACTAGGATGGAGCCTACAAGATAACTATAAAGGAGAGGAGCCAATGACTCAGTGGTTGATGCAGCCAAATCACCTGACGCGAAACCGACCATAAGATACGACATGAAAAGATCACAAGAACAGTTGAGGTAATAGTTCCATGACGGCAAAGCCGTACTACAGAAATAATGCAAAAAGGTATATATACAGCACGTAGATGTATTAAACGTCGTCGAAATCATATCCCGAGTCAAACTGCCCACTGCCACTTGGCTCTATTCAGGGGACCTCACTCTATACACGTGGAACAACTCCTTCATCTTGGGGGCAAAAGGTCATGGTCATAATTGGCAAGAACAGGTTCACCGGGAACAGTATGGGGAAAGAATCTAAGCAGAAAAAGGTGATGCAGAATGGAAAGTGGAAGAACAAACGGTCTAAGGCAAGCAGATCTACAGCATGAAGACGGCGAACAGAGTGGCACCGGTCAACACACCCATGAAGGGTGCAGACAGGGCGCTGCTTCCCGAGGTAGAAGAGTCGGAGCTGGAGGAGCCCGAGCTGGAGCTGGAGCTAGAGCTCGAGGTGCTGGAGCTGCTGTTCGAGCTGCTGGTGAGGGAAGTGGAGTTGCCGGGGGTGTTGGACTCATCGTCGGACAGGACCTTGTACTTGACGCTGGAGACCTTGTTACCGTTGTAGTCGTAGATGGTCTGGGGGATGGTGGTGGCAGACACGGCCACGAGGCTGCCGACGGTGGCGTTGGTGTAGCCGTTCTTGATCCAGTCAGCGACCTTGGAGGGAACGGTAGGCAGGTCCCAAGAGTTCAGGAAGGTGTTGTTGGTGATCAGAGAAGAGCTGCAGGTCACAGCCTCCTTGGAGGTCTGGGACGAGTTGGAGGACTCAATGCTGCTCATGTCCAACTTGTTGTACTGCTTCTGAAGGTTCTCATAGTCGACCAACAGGGTGGCAGTGTCGCTGCTGTTGATGGCCACGAGACCGTACTCGTTGGCTTCCTGGGTCCACTCGTAGACCAGACCACCGGAGAAGACCTGGTCCATCTCGCTGCCGTAGAGGGCCTGCACCTCGGTGAAGACACGGGGCTGGACGGCGTTGCAACCGTACTCGGAGAAGAAAACGGGCAGGGAGGCGTTCGAGAAGTCCTCAGTCAGGACGTCGTAGCCGGAAGCCTTGTAGGACGACTCGCCACACCAAGAGTACGAGTTAAGGCCAAAGAAGTCGGAGCGAGAGCTGGTCGAGTTCTCCAGGTTGCACTCGAAGTAGTCAAGGGTGTCCATGAGGATGGGGCGCACATCAGCAGCGGAGTAACCCACAGGGATGGAGCGGTTGACGTTGGTGGAGATGTAGTCCTTCATATCACGGACGACGGCCTGAAGAAAGAATCAGCAAGAAAGCTCCACCACACTACATAGAGAGACAATGAACATACACGAACGTAGGCAGGGGCCTCGTAGACACTCTGCTCGTTGATAACCTCGTTACCGGCAAAGAAACCCAGGGTGTTGGGGAAGTTCTTGAAGGCCTCGATGACACCGAAGACCTGCTCGTAGTAGACGGAGTTGTAGGTGCTCGAAGGGTTGGTGCGGTCAAGCGAGCCACCGGACAGAGGGGAGTTCACGTCGAGAATCATGTAGATACCCGCACCGTTGAAGATGGAGGCGCACTTGCTGTGGTCGACATTGGGAGACAGGTTGTACACACGGATAGTGTTGATCTGAACGGGTCCCCACGGTTAGCGGGGACAGCAAAAGAGAGCCAGCCAAGAGGGATTTCTTACACCCAGGTTCTGCATAAGAGCAGCATCGCGCAAGCAGGCATCTGCATCACTCAGGGGGTCTTCAGTGGCACTGAAGCCAGAAGAACCACCGGGCTGGTAGCTGTTGCGCAAAGGGAGCATTCAGTCAGCACATGGACTTTCCTCACGCCAAGTAATATTTCTGACAAGGAGGGGATGCTTACTCGACACCCAGGATCTGGAAGCGATCACCAGTCTTGCTGTTGACAAAGTCCTTGCCCTTGACTTCGATGGGAGTGACAGCGTTGGCGGTGGTCGCAAAAGCGCAAGCCGCGGCGAACAGTTGAGTGTATGTCTATACCAGACGGTCAGTCAGCAATCGAATCATTCCATGGTCGCAAACTGCTACTATCGGTATAGTACTCACGGGGAACATTTTGCGACGAGTTCAGGAGTGGCAGCTATCGACTCTTGACAAGGCTATATAGTATATAGAAGAAGGTAAAAAGAGAGGATGGAGTCTTCCACAGGAAGATCCGAAAAAGCAACGATTGGTATAGTATATAAAAAAAGAGTGACGTGGGAATAGAAACCCAAAACAAGGCAGCTAAGGAAGGAAAGCGCGCGGGGGCAGAGAGGCTGAACAGGGAAGCACGAGAAGAAGAAAGAAGCCGGAGTGAGACATGCTGATGGCTATAAAAAAATCAAGGCAGGAGTCGGTCTTTGGTCCTTTACCCCCCCAAAAGGACCCTCAGGGACCAACAGGAGGCAGCCAATCTCCCAGTGATTCGAGATTGATTGAAACGGCCAATGAAGTGGGGGTCACATAGCACCGCTAATCTCCGCTACTCGCCAATAGCCCCGTTGCTCTGGGTTTAATTGGCCTGCACTCGCCCCATCAGCTCGACGGCGTGCCTCAGACCAGCCAATTTCAGGGCCGATCCTGGTTGTTTCCTTTTCCCTTGTCCCTTAGAGACCCTGTTAGTACTGTTAGTCTGTTAGTACCCTGGCACCCTCACGCTACTAAGAGGGTCGCCCAAGATGAAAAGAGGGTGAGCTGATTACGCATGTCTTGTCGGCTGGATTCAATTCCGTTTCGGAGCTGCTTAGTACAGACAATGTCTAACCGTGCACACCACAACTAACTACCAACGACTTATAAACACATCACCACACAGCTCACCGCTCCCCATACTGCATACATTGATTTCATGTTCGCTTGTTTCACATCAAACAAATCATCGTTTTCGGCTCAAGTGACTCGTGCACTCTCAACTACTACATGTTCGTGCGTCTAAGAATACATACCCGGGTGTTCATCCCATCGTGAGAAAACCTCGGGAAGAAGTTATTACCGGCCCCAATGACTCGGATCATTTGCCGTCCGTTCAGGCCCGGTTGAGAATAAGAAAAATAGGTGAGGTGAAGAAACAACACAGTGATGGCGCCGAAGAATTCCAAAAATGCCCGCCAGGTCGGCGGCCAAGACACAATGCACATATACAGGGAAATCTGGAAAGGAAATGATGCGGAAGTACATGGGTAAACGGAGAGGGGAGAAGCGTGACTGGCAGACGGACATCGATTTCCGATGATTCCGTCACTGCCAGAGGACCAGGCCACGGCCCAGCGTGAACTGGAATATTATAGAAGACACACACGTTCAAGGCCAAGGTTCTGATGCGGAGAAAGGGCGGGTGGGTGAACGGAGCAAGAGGGAGAGAGATGGGGAGGCCGGGGTTCAGGAATCATGGTGGAATCGAACTTACTCGACTCCGTGGCTCTCCGGGGCGGCGCTCTCGCCGGTGAACGAGCCGAGCTTCAGGCCGGAGTCCAGAGCGACCATCTCGGCCAGGATCTCGAGCACCTCCTTGGGCACGGTCTTGTCGTAGATGGAGATCAGGTCCTTAGGCTGGGGGTAGACCTTGAGGGCCTTGTAGAAGCACAGGGCAGCCTCAATGGGTTCTGTAATACGGTTGGTATATGAATTGCCAATGCATAGAAGGTGTAGGGGACGTGTTCGAAGCGCGTCATGTCGGGGGATGCATACCTTCGGCAACAAGAGACTCTCCCTGAGCAACCTGGCTCATGAAGTAGGCCTCCTTCTCCTCCAGGTCCGTGGGGAAACCCTCGTCCTTGGCCTGCTGCACAACCTTCTTGATGACCTCGCGCTGCATGGCACCCTGGGCCTCAGCCTCCTCCTTGACAGCCCTTGCCATGCGGCGGTTGTTCCTCTTGAGAGCTTTGCGGAACTCTGGGTCGGTCTGTCTCTTGTGGTCAAAGTAGACGGCGTAGGCTAGAAAGGGCAATGAAGGCGATCAGCATCTTAGTTGGGAGAACTTCGGTATATGGTTCCGTGGATGGCCGGGCTGGTGTCCTTACCCAGAAGGCCGGTGACGATTGTGCCGGCAGTAGCGGCAATCAAGGTCGACGTCCTCATGATGAAGGTTGGATGGAATGTGAAAATGGGGAAGAGACGGAAGCGGCGAAAGGGAAAGTCCACCAAGAAGAGGGAACTAGACGGCGTCGAAGGGGGGAGGGTACGGGAGAGGTTTGAGCTGAAGCAAGACAGGCAAACAAGCGGACGTGAAGAGATGACGGCGATTCTTTTGCTGTCCGGATAATTTTGCCGGGATCATTGTTGTTCCGCCTCGGGGTTTCTGTCCCGCTTGAGCTGCCTCCCATACTCCCCTTCTCTCTATACTTCCTCTCTCTCGCTACATTCCGCCCCTTCCACGAGATTGCAGGCTCAATCTTTCTTTCTCATAGACTCCTTGCCAGTCATGGAGAGCCGTGGCTTGACCCTTCGCAGCAAATCGCGCCGGCCCCGCCCCCAGATCAGTGCTCCGAAGCCCATATCCGGCCCTTTGCCGACCAGTAACGGCAGTAAGGGTGCCGGTACTCCAGGCCAAAATACCTCCTCTCCCAGCTCGACATCCCTAGACCGGGCCCCTTCGAAGGGCGCGACCTCTGATCTAGTCAAGCGCCGTTATTCCACTCGTTTTAATCAGGCCCCCGACTTCGATGTCAGCGCTCCGCCGGTGCCGGGCCTGCCCAAGGCACCAGCCACGTATGGCGGGCTCAGCCCACCCGAAACGAGTCGCAGACCGTCCACAGAGTCTTCTGGTCCCCCCAAGGTGGACTTGAATGCTCTTCGCGATCCCAGTCTCCCAGTTGACAAGTGTGAGTGACGCCCGACATATGTCCCCGCGGACTCCACAATCCCACGGGTGCTAACGTGGCACCAATCTACGTCAGACGTTGCCAACCTGCTCGCCAATGCCTCGGAAGAGGAAATCGAGGCATACCAGAAGAGTCTTCGGAAGGTTAAAAACCGAACTTCGACCGATCTGCAGCAAAATGTTTACCAGAACCGCACTCAATTCATCAAGATCAGTAAGGAGGCGGAGAAGCTTAAAGGAGAAATGCGGACCCTCCGCACTCTGATGGCGGAGCTTACCACGGCGCTCGGACAGACCACCATCGGCAACACCCCGAATCCCATGTCCCCCGCCGTTGACGAGTACATGCCGAAACGCAATGCCAACCGCAGTTCTGTCGCTAATCTAGAGAGCATGTGGAACGTCCAGCTCCAGACCCTCTGGAAGACGGTGGAAGGCTCTCAGAAGTTCCTACCGGTGGTTCCCGGTCGACACATCGTGATGGAGACGGGACATTGGGTGGAACTGGACTCTGCAACCTGGAAGCCCAGGCGACCAGTTCACATAGTGCTGCTCAACGACCACCTGCTGATCGCTGCGAAGAAGCGCAAGCGGGTGGACCAGAGCAGCCATCGCGGGCCGGTTCCAACCAAGCTGGTCGCGGAAGAGTGCTGGCCCTTACAAGACGTTGATATGATCGACCTTGGTGCCAATCTCTCCGCGGGGGTCGCTCGAGATGAAGCCGAAGACCGGGGAATAGCAAATGCGATCAACGTCCGCGTCGGCGGAAAACCGTTTACCTATCGCCATGACAAGCGCGACAGCTCGGCTAAAGGGGAGCTGCTCGCGACCTTCCGGAAGACCGTCGAGGATCTCCGACGTACGCTTCGCTCAGAGACCGAGGCTGCAAGCAAGTCCACCGAGTCATTTGGCTATTTGGGCGTCCGGCGCCCTTCCCATTCCCCCATGCCGGATCAGTACGACGGTGGCGAAAGCACCCGCGATAAGCCGGAGGTGCGTATCGATGTGGACGGAAAGCAACAGAATCTTCGCTGGGTTGATGGGCAGGTGGACGAGCTGGATATTGACATCGCCCTGCAGCGGTTTGAAGAGGCAGTGGCCAACGTCGAGCGGCTTCGCAAGCTCGCCAAGGGCTTGAAGGGCAACGTGATCGCGCAGGACGTGATCAACACGAAGGTCGACGAGCGTGCAGCCACCCTGGCGGAGGTTATCCTGCGAGCGCTCGTGGATACCCACTCGTTTCCAGTATCCACCAAAACCAGAGTCTCCTGGCTCACGCGGTTGGGATTCGAAGATCAAGCCCGGGAAGCTTTTCTGAAAACCCGCTCGGAAATCGTCTCCAAACGGATTCGGTATGTCTCCCCGTACCACTCGCTCAGTAGCACGAATAACTAACATCCTGCAGTGCCTGCGTCTTTGAGGGTGACCTCCCCCTGTACATATTTCAGATCTCCTATGTGTACTTCACGTTGATCAAGAACACCATTAGCATCTACCAACAGTGTTTTCCGCCAGTTATGTCCAGCGCTAGCATCCGCTGGGCAAAACACCACCTCGACGGCTTCAACGCCCTGCTCATCCGCCAGCTCAGCAGCGTCCAACGCGGCACGACCGTCTGGCAGAAATGCATTGACATTGTACACGAGCAAGCCGATCAGCTGACCGAGGTGGGCGTTGACTTTACCGATCTCGTCGCAAAGGACTTGGAGACTGGCGAGGAGTTCACCGAACGACCGCAGATGACCCGGTCTGAGTCCCTTATTTCCGGGTTAGCGGACACTGCAGCGGCAGCTGCAATTATCTAAGTGACGCGTGTATATTGGTTTATTTTTCTGTTTATTACCACTAGCCTCAGGAGGCTACGTTTGATGATGTGTGTTCTGCGTCGCCTGTTTGTGCATTTTCTTATGCTCAGTCTGTTTGACATGGACCCCACGCGAGTGCTCCAGAATGGCTCTATGTTCCTGTCTTCTATTCTGTATTCTCTAGATGTTATATTCATACCCATGAACGCCGAGCTTAGTCGTGTATATGGCGATATATCACCGTTCAACGGATCCATGTATACCCGCACACATTTCACCCCCTTTGAGTGGAATCCTTACAATCGACAAGACTGAGAAAGCGCTACAAGCAGAGATATGCAGACGCTTGTCCTTCGAGCTACCTGCACTATGTTACTGAAGCGGACTAAGATCTCCGACGTCGGCATCGAGCCAATCCCGGGCACGTGTGATCACGTGAAGCTAGACTGCTCATTGATGTCTCCCTCGAAGTCGAGCTGCCAACTGAACTGATCACTCCACAGTGGATGCTAGATCTAGCATGACTCGCTACTTGTCCGAAAACAGTGTGGCCAGTATGCTGGCAGCCTTTTCACGGCGGATGACTAGGACACGATCTGACGTCAGATACCTGAGACGATAGTTCTACACGATGGTATCTTCATTACTTGTCCCCAAAGACAGTCATTTTATGATATCCTACGGGATGAATTCTTCCTCTCACCAGCAACTGAAAGCACAGCTGATAGCAATTGCTTTCAACAACATGAAGTGGGCATGGCAGGACACAGTTCCACCTCGGCCCCAAATGTAGAAGCCGAGCGGCGGACCCCAACAGTTTCGGCTACAAAATCCGCCTGAAACTCCGAACGATAAGCAGCGGACGAAGATTATTGCGCGCAGACTCAACAGCAAGTGGGTTCATCCCCTCCATTGGCTCCTTTCTGGGGCTCCTTGCTTCTTTTTTTTTCGTCTGTCGCTATTTTATCCGATCTAATCTTTCTTCCTCCCTTCGATCAGTACAATCTCCCCCGCGCGCGACACCAATCAACCAACATGGGACTCACTAATGGCCAATCTATACAAGGGTGAGTGAGTATCGCTCCCGCGCCTTTATCCGCGGCTACTTGTAACCCTAAGTAATGCTCACATCCGACGTTCGCGCAGGCAAGATGCGGAACACCAGGCCCTCCCATTGACGGCCCTTCCCTCTCTGCCCTTGTTCGTGCAGGCAAATGCCTTTGCGCAGAACACTCCCGACAAGATTGCCGTCGTGGACGCCACCAAAGGGCAGGAATTCACCTATGGACAACTGCTAGCCGATGCGGTCGCCCTGAAGAAGGTCATTCTGGAAGAGCTAGGCCTCACTAAAGTCGGAAACCTGGAGGAGCGCCGCATCGCCTTCCTGACGCCCAACGGCTACGACTACGTGGTTACGCAATGGGCTGTCTGGGCCGCGGGGGGTGTCACCGTCCCTCTCTGTATGTCCACACCAACCCTACACTATCGCAAGCCCCAGAAAACCCAAACCCAGAAATCGCGCCTCACTAAATAAACAACAAACACTAACCTCACCAAACCCAAGGCACCACCCACCCCGTCAAAGAGCTCCTCTACACAATCGGAGACTCCGACCCCTCCCTGATCTTCCTGCACCCAACATTCGCGCACTTCGAGACCCCACTCAAGGAAAGCATCAGCAAACCGATCCCCTTCAAACCCCTCACCCCACACCAGCAAACCACCACCTCCATCACCCTCCCAACCATCAGCCCAATCTCATTCCTGAACCACCGCGCCCTCATGATCTACACCTCCGGCACAACCAGCAACCCAAAGGGCTGCGTAACCACACACAAGAACATCACCTTCCAAGCGCAATGCCTGATCGAAGCGTGGAAATACAACCCCAGTGACCGACTGATCCACGTGCTCCCCCTCCACCACATCCACGGCATCATCAACGGCCTTACAGCCAGTCTCCTCAGCGGCGTCACCGTCGAAATGCACCCGAAATTCGACCCCGCCACGATCTGGACCCGCTGGCGCGAAGGCGGCTCCACCATGTTCATGGCCGTGCCCACCATCTACTCGCGTCTCATCGACTACTTCGAAACCCACCTGCGAGGCACCGAGCACGAAGCCGCCGCCCGCTCTGGTGCCCAGTCCCTCCGTCTCATGGTCAGCGGGTCCGCGGCGCTGCCGACCCCGGTGAAGAGCAAGTTCGCCGCCATCACGGGACAGGTTCTCCTCGAGCGGTTTGGAATGACTGAGATCGGCATGGCGATTAGCTGTGGCTTGGAGACGGAGAAGCGCGTTGATGGGAGCGTGGGGTGGCCGTTACCGGGTGTGCAGGTGCGGTTGACGGATAAGGAAAGTGGGAAGGTGGTTGATGCGGTGGATGAGGATGGGATGATTGAGATCAAGGGTGACAATGTCTTTATTGAGTATTGGCGTAAGCCGGAGGCTACGAAGAAGGAGTTTACTGAGGATGGATGGTTCAAGACTGGGGATGTGGCGAGACGGGATGCGCAGGGCGCGTACTTTATTCAGGGTCGTGCGTCCGTTGACTTGATTAAGTCTGGGGGGTATAAGATCTCGGCGTTGGAGGTGGAGAGGAAGATGCTGGGACTGGATGCTATCCAGGAGGTGGCGGTTGTGGGGTTGGCGGATGAGGAATGGGGACAGCGTGTGGCTGCTGTGGTTAAGCAGCGGTCTGGGGTAAGTTTATCTTGTTTGGTGTTTCTATTGTTACGGGTTGAGAGAATGCATGCTAATATTGATATAGACGGAACCCTTGGAACTGGCGAGTCTGCGTGCGCAGCTCAAGCAGGAGATGGCGCCCTACAAGGTGCCGACGGTATTGAAGTTGGTGGATGCGATTGAACGTAATGCTATGGGCAAAGTGAACAAGAAGACGCTGGTGCAGAAATATTGGCCGGAGCTGGCCTAGCCTAACCTAGAGATAATTATAATACCACATAAAGTTCACTAACAATTGAACGAATGCATGAATACCGGACCCTGCAGTCGTCCGCCAATGCCTGGATCAAGGCATCGACAATGGAATAATGGCACCGGCACTGGCAGCATGCGGACCACGGCAAAACCCTCTGGCAATACATTCAGGAGATCAGCACAAAACTGATACAGCTTTATAAAGACTTGACTTCAGCCCAGTAGAGTACCTTATTCCAAGTCCAGATAGAAAGATTGGCCTGAATATGTTCCTATATATAGCTTAGAAGATTAATTCTGCCCGGTGCAAGCAGTATAATGTAGCACCGGAAATAGTGTACTATATCATACTCATATATAACTTGTATAATGAGCTCCGCTGTTTGATTTAGTATAACATCCAATCAATACCGCGGAGCCTGAAGGAAGCGCTAACAGAGTAGAAATACATAGTGCGCACGGTGAGCTTCCTGCTTAAGATGGAGTGCTTGCAGTATTTATTATTATTTAAGCTGTCTCAGGCGCATGATATAGAAGAAGAGTAACTACTAATGATAGCAGGTATAAGTCCTGGACAGTAGGAAAGTGGATATAGCGTGCCTTAGGATTAGAGGATATATGACAGGTGGAGGATGTATCTGTGGACCCATGCTGCTAATTTCCCTCTCATAATTCTCCATATTTAATGATGATAATTGATTTCCTTGACTATAATTGTCTGTAGGTTGCATGTATACATGTAGAAGCTTGTTGAGCTAAAGGGCTGCGGAGGAGGGACTATAAGATCTAGTGCAAGATTATGAAGATAAAGGAAATAAGAGGGCATGCATAAAGTATTATGGGCTTTTACAGCCACTATGCAAGGTAATGAGATGATCTATGTGAGGCCCTTATATGGACCTCTATGGCTACAGAAACCTTTGACCGGGCAGGGAACAGGAGCGAGCGGGTTCCAGGGTCTTATAGAGAGGCTTAATACGGTTCATGTGAGAAGAAAGCGAAGAACATGGAGCAAGGGGTCAGAAAAGAATGTGCAGATAGGGTTGAGTGGATTCCATAAGAGGACATTCTTATGGAGGCTATCTATGAGGCATCTATGAGACAGTTACGCGCGCTCTGATTGGTCAGTTGAATTTGGGGATAGCTTCATGCTTAAATTATGGTATCTGAAGCGATACTGTAAGATTATATGGATTTAATATAGGGAAAGAATAGGGTCCTGTATACTAGAATTTTCGCAGCTCGGAGGCTCGCTCAGGCTGCAGGCGCCCTGCAAGAGCGCCCTGGCCGCGCTATATTAGGGTAACCCAAAAGCAGTGAGTGTAAATGCTTGTATGTATGTGCGAGTGTTTGTGTGTGTGCGAGAGAGAGGGAGGAGGGAGGAGGGAGGAGGAAAGCGAGATGGATGGAGGAACGTATCCTGAATTGCCTAATTCGGCCAACATGAACTCCCGAAAGAGACATCTTTAGTCACGGCTTCCTTCTCCTTCTCAGTTCCTTCCTCTCTTGTTCTGGAGACATCATCTCCTGGTTATAAAGCGAACGATGGTTTCTCTATTCCTGCCACTCTCTTCTGCAACATTCCTCTCTCTTACCATCATCTTATCGTACTTGTTCATTCGCTACAACTTGTTATATCTTATATCACCATCATCACTCTTACCATGGCGAACCAGGCCCCCCAGAACCGGAACGCCCGAAACCAGCTCGTCCAGAACCAGCCTATACGGAGCCAAACCACCCCAAATCGGCTTCGCTGGTGGAGCTGGACTGACCTCCGCATTCGCCAACACCGCATCTTGGTCGAAAGGCACTACCCCATGCCAGAAGGCGGACCAGCCCATGCCAAAGGGACCATAGAAGTCGAGTCGCGACAAACTGGACGCATAATACGCGTCAATTGGTACTGTGGAATGGACAACACCAACGCTGCAGCTCCAGTCATCATCCATCTCAGCGGCAGGAACTTCTGCGTCAAATCTCATGGCATCGACGATGAATTCCTTCACATTGTTGCACGTGAAAATAGCCCCTTCATAGTCCTCGACGTTGAGTACCGTATCGCCCCGGAGTACCCATACCCTGCGGCTCTCGAAGACATTCAGGACGTATTGCAATATCTCAGGCGCCATCCTGCGGACTACGATCTCAACCACTTGGCTATCTGTGGATTCGGTGCTGGGGGAAATCTGGCCCTGGCTATGGCTCTTAGTTCCCCCCGTGACACTTTTGAAACCGCGGTTGTGTTTTATCCGGTCACGGATTTGTCGTATCCAGAGAAGCGCAAGATTCAGCTTATGGAACCGGATATAAGGAGGAGAATGAGAAGGGGGACGGGTGGTGTGATGCCGCCATGGGTGATGGAGTCGACTATCCAGTCTTATTTGCGTGGGAACCATCCTAACATCGTGGACGATCCGAGGCTTTCGCCTATTCGTCAGCAGGATGAGAGTAGATTTCCGCGAAGATTACTTTTCATTACAGCTGAAGGGGATCCGTGGACCGCGGACACTAAGACGATGGTAGACGGGTTGATATATGCTAGGCGTCGGGATCCGACATCATTGCCGACAGTGTTTTATCTGGAGATGCTTGGCGTAGGTCATGCTTGGGATAAGTATAGGAAACTTGATGAGCATGGATTGGACCAGAAGAACACAGCGTATGACACGGCGGCGCGTTTTTTAAGAAGAGAGGTCCACCCATGACATTCATGATAGATAGATAGATAGATAGATAGATAGATTAGCTTGTTCATTCAGTTTGACTACCATGATGCGCTGTACTCTTCACCACCCTGGTCCTATATGCATGACGGAATGATATTATTACAGTTTATTTCGTTTGTCGAGGCTGAGATTGATTTCAATTCTGGAAGAGCACTCCGTCCCACGTATTGATGATCTGTACGACCTACTATCTACTATTCATTGGGTCTCTAATTCTCTTACATGTTCTTCCTCCAACGGTTTCTCTCTATACGACCCCGCTAGACGAACATATAACATCTCCTATTCTTCCAATACCATCATGTCAGAGATGAAAGAAGTAAAATGGACATATCTCAAGTATGAGCAAGGGGGTTTGGAAGAAGAGGAATTGTATGGAGCAACACTGGGTAATGCAGCAATGTGCGTGGAAAACATGGATGAAAGAGGCGATGACAAGGCAAACTCCAAAAGCAAACGTTGAGATGGTAGACTATGAGACGACTGACGATAAAGAAACGAATGGAAAGGATGAAACGGGCCCAGAAGAAATCACAAAAGTCGTGGAAGGCCTACTATATCTGCCCTGATATACTGCACCGAATTTAGATAAGCTCTGCAAACTGGGAATCAAACGAAGAGTAAGAATATCGGAAACCTGAGCGTAGCTCCCATTGTGACGCTGAAATATGAAGCCAATGTCACCGTCCACGAAGCTAACAACCTCCTTTGGCTCGAAAGGTATGCCTCGGCGGTGCCAATCCCTAAGCTCCTGGCTTGCTACACTTGGATAGAGCAGATTTTGCAGCCCTGTTATGCGGAGGGTTTGTTGTATCGGAATCTCGAGCAGATGTGCTGAAATTTGTAAGTATCTTCCACTCTGGTGCGTCTATGGCAGCCTTTTTGCCAAAATGAGCATTACTGGGCTGGTTGCTATAGCTAGCCCTTACGTCCCTAGGGTAACTCTTCTTCATGGCCGCTAAGAGTGTCAATATACCATCCAGCTACGCAGCATGAAGCGGTGGGAGTTAGGGTTATCCATATTCACTTACTCAACCCTTCAAAAATGAGAACACCAAGCAAGACACCTTGATTGAACGTATAAGTGAAGTCATTCCACTATCTCTAGCCCTGATACTTCCAAAGTAACTAGACAGTACACAAACTACGTCTGAAAAATCCATCTCGGATCCCTATCCCCCAAAAAGTCCCCCTCAGCATCCCCCACACCCCCCATCAACGCCTCCATTCCCTCCCTCTCCCTCACCTCCGCCTTAGCCCTATTCTCCCTCCTCAGCACCTCCCACAACACCCCCACAACCACCAAATTGGCCACCAAATACCCCAACGCAAACCCATGACCCAGAAAATACCTCGGACTCGTCTCCGTCCGATACAACTGCGTCCCCAACACAGCGCCCAAATTCCCAATGGAAATCTGCATCGCATTCGCAATGCACCTCTTCGTCTGGCCAGAGACATTATTCGCCGGCCACGACAACACAATCGCCACGGCGGGGTAGATCCCCGCTGCAGCGAAGAACGTCCCCAGGTAGGAGACCCCAGGTCGATGATCAGTTAGTAGAAGGATATAGCCGATGCATGCTAGTGCCGTAGAACCCAGAATGAAGGGTGCACGCCGGTGCGTGCGCTCTGATAGAATGGCGACGGTTATGGTTAGGACGAATGCAACGGCGTAGGGCGGGACGGTGAGGAGTTGGGCTTGCGCGGATGTGTAGCCTAGGGCGGAGATGATTGTTGGCTATATTTTTATATAGATGTGTTTGTTAATGAGTGCTATTTGTTGTGTGTGTATCCAAGGGTAAGTAGCTCACCATGAACAAAGATAGAGTGTAGAGTGGAAGTGACATTGTATGGAATGCTAATCCGTATAACCAGACCTTGATATCTTTGAAGGCGTCGAAGACAGCACTCCAGGTGAATTGCTCGTCGCGGGTCGAGTCGTTGTCGTTCTTCAGACGGAATTGGATGAATTGACGCTCCTCGGGGGTCAGAAATTCGGCTGTTGAGGGGTAGTTGTAGACCCAGAAGTAGGCGCCGATGGACATGAGGACTGTTAGGAGGCCTTCCTTTATTGTTCCTTTCTGTTAGTTAGGGTTTGAGGTAGGGGAGGCGGGGATAGTACCAGGATGAAGATCCATCTCCAGCCGCTGTATCCGCCTAAACCTTTCATGTGGGCTATGCCCTGTGTTCATCATTAGCTTGGCTAGAACAGAAAGTGAGGGAGTGGGTACAAACCCATGCTAGAATCCCTCCAAAAGCACCCGCTAAAGAAGCAGCACTGAAGAATAGAGCTACGCGGTAGTGTTGCTCGTTGCGTTTATACCACATTGATAGGTAGAAGACGACGCCGGGGAAGAGGCCACTTTCTGCTATGCCGAGGGCTGTTTTCAATTTTAGCATTGTACATATTATGATACGGTTGGTTTATGGGGGTATGTGTACCAGTTCGCGAAGTCAGATATCCCGCATAATTCTGCACCACGCCCAGAAGCGTCGCCACAATACCCCAGACTAATGTTAATGTGGGGAGCCAGATCCTGGGTGTGGTTTTCTTCAAGACAATGTTGCAGGGAACTTCGAAGAGGACGTAGCCGATGAAGTAGAGGGTTAAGCCGGTGAGGTATTGGTCTCCTGCTGTTGTTTGGTTAGGGTTTATTGTTATGTGATTTGATATGGTAGGGGTGGGTAGTACATACACATGTGGATCTCGGTGGCCATGCCTTCGAGTCGGGCGTTTCCCACTGTAGGTATTGAAGTATTGGTTAGATTTTGGGGACTTTTATCGGGTGCAAGGAAGAGGGAACGGGGGTACCATTGCTGCGGTCGAGAAATGATAAGAGATATAGGATGGTTAGTGGTGGGAGGAGACGAAAGTCTAGTTTGCGAAGTAGGGCTTTCTCGTTGATGTTGGTGACGCTGCTTGTGCTGGGCGAGGCGGCCTTTTCGTCGGCCTCTATTGTCTTTTCGGGTGTGGATGCCATGCTGCTCATAGCAGGTGTATGGATTACTGTTCCTGACAGTACTAACTATTCAGAGTATCTTTCAATCTAGGTTTGACAACGGGACGGGACTATATAAGAGTCTGCTGGAGTCGCACTCCACGTGGGACAGACATCATGGCAGCCGTGATGAAAGGCATTGTCAGGGTCCAGAAGGGCTAATCCTTGCCTGCTATGGGATATTTGCTTCCACGAGCCGATGCGCAATCTGAAGCGGTGATGACGAGATTGGTGGAGTAATCCACATAAGAGGAAGTAAAGTTAACAAGGTTTGGGGGTGGGGGTAAATAGGTAGATGTTCCTGGTGGTGATGATGGATTGTTTGATAGTAGACCCACTACCTGGATATGATAAGTAAGACCTGCATAGTATTGGTGAGAAACTAGGTTGCTCTGTAAGTGATATTCAGACTGCTGATCTTGTGCTGAACATTGATAGTTATTCTGGGCATAGTTGGCTAATGAATGAGAGGCCCGAGGTGGTGTATTCTGGAGGAGAAAGCACGCCATCTGCAGCCCGCTCAACGTCATTTGGCTCACTCGGTCGAGAGCTGCGATGCTAAATTATACTATCTGGTTCATCGCTCAGACCAGTTGGCAGCGTTTCTGGTGCATAATATGATCTTAACTAATTTGCATAGTGATTTATGTAGGAAGTATGAAACGCTATGCAGAAGTAACCCTCATTCTTACTAATGATACTTAGAATTTAGATTTGTCCAGCATAGACTGAATGTACAAGTATACAAGGTATGGAACATGGAAAAATATGAAGATAGATGGCATCGAATAATCATCATAATATTGTTGCGAGACATGATCAACATTTCTCAGTGGTATCTTGTTAGTAGTCGTCAGGGGTATCTCTTGTTGTCGTTGTTGTCCATCCCACCCAAATGTCCCGAAGATTCAACGCCAGTCCAGGATTCCCAAAATCCCAAAGTCCGTCCATCCAAACCCAATGATAAAAGAAAACAAACAAGGGAAAAAAAGGTAAAGGAAAAGAAAACACGCCAAAGAAACCAAAGAAAACGCCAAACACAACAGAAAACACCACACACACACACACACACAAAACACACACATAACGAACACAACACACACAACACACAGAACACACACATAAAACACACACACACATCACACACAATACATAATACACACACCACATACATCACACATAACGGGATGATTGTGTTCATGGAAGGAAATTCATCTAATCTATCATGCGGGCATTCTAATCGCCTCGCAGCCTACGCGGTATATGTATAACACTGCTTAACTTTTCGAAAAAACACCAGCCAATGCGGAAAAAAAGGAAGAAAAGCAACACGCAACGTAAATCACACATGATGCTTGGAGGTCGCCATTCAGACCTGTGAAACAACGCCACAGAAATCCTTGGGTTCCCTCAAAATCGTAGTACTCGTCAATACCCCGGAATGACCTAAGGCGCCAGAATCAACGCAAGCAGAGCCATACGGCAGTAGAGACCATATCTCATCTGTAATCCAACATCAGCATCATGTTCAGTCAATGGGGCGGGGGAGAAACTAACCTGGCGGAAGTAGGCCGCCCGCTGGTCGAAGTCAACTTCCTCCGAGATCTCCGCGTTACGAGGCAGAGGGTGCATCACGACCATGTGGCTCTTGGCGTGCTTCAGAAGAGCGTTGTCAATGACGAAGCTGTTCTTCAGACGCTCGTACTGAGCCAGATCGCTGAAGCGCTCCTTCTGCACACGGGTAGAGTACAGAACATCGGAGCGGGCAACGATCTCAGGAGTCAGCTCCTCAGACTCCACAACAAGCTGGCCAGAGGCAATGACTTGCTGGCGGACCTCCTCGGGCAGGGAAAGATCCTTGGGCGCAACCAGCTGGACGCGAACATCGTAGAACTGGAGCAGCTTCAACAGCGAGTGCACAGTGCGGCCGTAACGCAGGTCACCAGTGAAGGTGATGGTCAAGCCGGTAACGGTGCCGAGCTCCTCACGGATGGTGAAGAGGTCAAGGAACGCCTGAGTGGGGTGCTCAACACTGCCGTTGCCACCGTTGAGGATGGGGACGGGGGAGAACTTGGCCGCGGTCTCGGCGCTGCTGGGATCGGGGTGACGCAGAACAACGGCATCTCCGTAGCAGCCGAGAGTGCGGACGGTATCCTGCAGGGTCTCACCCTTCTTGGTCGAGGAGTGCTCGGTGGAGATGGCAATGGTGCGGCCTCCCAGACGCTGCATGGCAGCATCGAAAGAAGCGGACGTCCGGGTGGAAGGCTCATAGAAGAGAGTGCACAGAACACGGCCCTTCAGGATATCAAGCACACCCTGGCGCTGGACTCCCAGGCGCATCTCCTGGGCCACAGTGAAGAGCAGGTGCAGATCAGCCCGAGTGAACTGGTTAACGGACAGCACATGCTTCTGTCTGAAGGTGGACCGAGAGAGCATCTCAAGGAGAGAGGAAGACACCTGGGGAACGGGGGTGTACAGAGGAGGTCCAAGCTCTCCCACAGCAGGGGCCTGCTCAGCAAGCTTGCGGCCGGGGCGGAGAGGAGTTCCAGAGAAGGACAGTCTGCGGTCGAGAGAGCTCTCGGGACGAGCATGCACCATAGGGGACATGGCCTTCACGGAAGGAGAGGCGGGCACAATCCGGTGGGTGGACATGTCGGTTCCAGTGGAAGCATCGGAGATGATTTCACCATCAAGGCAAGAGGTCTTACCCTGGAAGACAACACGCTGCACAGACCCTCTAACGTTCTTGCCGTTGAAAGGAGACCAAGCACCCTGGGGTGCCTGGAACAGGTACGGCCGGTCAACCTCAATCTCGACGGAGCTGTCGGCCTGGTCGTGAAGCTCGAAGATCTTCTTGGGGTTCTCGTAGAGACGAGCGACAATGTCCTCAACAGTCAGGCGACCCTCCGAGACGGCAGTGAACAAGAGCGGCAGAGTCTCGGCGATACCGGCGACAGGAGAGCTCTTCTCACCAGCAACCTGGTAAGGGATGCTGCCGACAGAGAAGACATCGATGGTGCTCAGGTGCTCCCACAAGGCCTTCTGGTCCTCAACCGAGGGCAGCGAGCTGCACTCGGGGAAGTCATCCTTCGTAAGGAACAGACTGTAGACGGAAACATCGCAAGTCACCTTAAGACCCTTCTCCTTGCTGAGAGCAATGAGACTGATGTCCTCCTTGGACGAAACACTCATGACGTGAATGTTGCGGCTGTGGAGGCTGGCCAACAGCAAGACGGAGGCCAGGTCAGTAGACTTGGCATCGGTGATGATAGGCTTGCTGGACGGCCAGTTACCGAAGTGGTTGGTGACCGTAGCAACCTTGCTGATGTTGCCAGACAGGTGGTTGAAGGGGATGAAGAGCGAGCCCACGTCTCCCGTCACTTGTCCGATCTGGTCGGCGTTGTCAGCAGTGGCCACAACAGAGAAGTTGAAGTCGCAGAAAGAGGACTTCTCAGCATTCTGCTGGGCAATCTTCAGGGCACGAGCATCGGTGACCGAAGCGTCAACACCAACAGGCATCACGCGAACCATGCTGAAACCAGCGGCAATGGATGCCTTGGTCATGGCCTGGAAGTCAGGGGAGCCAGGAACCATCAGGTTGGGCACGAAAGCAGCGACGTTGATCAAGCCGGGCAGGATGATAGTGCGGTGGCTGGTCTGGTAGTCAATGGTCTGCACGTTGAGAGCAAAGTGGCGAGCAATGGCCTCAATGAGGATCTTGGCGTTCTTGACGTTGGTGACCAGAGGAGTCTGGTAGTCAACAGCCATACGACGAGTGCGGTAACCCTTACTCATGTAGTTGGCAGGACGTCTGAACCGGTTGTTGGACGGCAAGTTGATGTACAAGTCAATCAGGTTGTTGGCCAAGTGCTGAGTGAGCGAGTACTCGGACTTGATGTCCTCCTCCTCTCCCGGAAGGATCTCGAGATACTTGACGGGGACGCCGTTCTCCTTCAGGAAATCAGCAGTACCGGAAGTGGCGAAGAGGTTGAACCCAATCTGGTGCAGCTTGCGGATCGAGGGCAGCATCTCCATCTTCTCCTTGTAGGAACCGATAGAGAACAGCACGTTACGCTTGGGAAGGCGGAAACCGGTGGAGATCAAGGCCTTGAGGTAGGCTTCGTACTTGTCACGACCGAAAGATGCGACTTCTCCAGTGGAGGCCATCTCGACACCCAGGACGGGATCGGCACCCGAGAGACGAGAGAAGGAGAACTGGGGCACCTTCACACCGACGTAGTCCTTGGGGATGGAAACAGGAGGATATTCAGCGAAGGGAGCGCCGATCATCGCCTTAGTAGCCATCTCAATGAGATCAACGCCCATAACCTTCGAGACGAAGGGGAAAGAGCGAGAAGCTCTGACGTTACACTCGATGACCTTGATGTCGTTGTCCTTGGCGATGAACTGGATGTTGTAAGGACCAGTGACGTTCAGAGCGTTTCCGATCTTCCGGGTAGCCTCCTCAATGCGGCGGACGGTCTCGGGATCCAGGTCCTGCGGGGGCAGGATCAAGGTGGCATCACCAGAGTGGACACCGGCATTCTCAACGTGTTCAGAGATGAAGTGTCCAACCATGACACCGTTGCGAGCCACAGCATCCATCTCAATCTCCTTGGCGTTCTCAATGTACTTGGTAATAACCACAGGGTGCTCACGGGAGACCTCAGCAGCCTGGTTGAGGTAGCTGGCCAAGTCGTGCTCAGAGTAGACAGTGTTCATGGCAGCTCCGGAAAGCACGTAAGAAGGTCTGACAAGCACAGGGTAGCCGACCTTGTTACAGAATTCGGTAGCCTCCTCAGTGCTAGTAAGCTCCTTCCAAGCCGGCTGGTCAACTCCGATACGGTCAAGCATGCGGGAGAACTTGTAACGGTTCTCAGCACCATCGATCATCTCGGGAGAGGTACCAAGGATGCGAACGTTCAAGCGGTGCAGGGGCAGAGCAATGTTGTTGGGAGTCTGACCACCCATGGAGATAATCA